GATGAAAAGCTGAGCTACATATTTCACATGATCCTTTGGCAGCTCCCCCACACGCTGAATAAATTTATGAGTCAACCACCAACCATCAGATGTTTCTGTTAATGGGACCTTGTTTGGAAAAAAAATATTTATGGTGCTAATCATCTGTCTCTGTTTGCTGTAAATGACTTTGCTTGTTTCTTCTCTTTTTGCCCTTATAGTTAGAAGTGATTGCTTAACAGAAGCGGTTCCTCTAAACCTAAACTTGGTTCCACTTGGTGGTGTGCAACATCATGAGGTTTAGCATCCGTTTCAGGGTTAGGCTACTTCCAGACATAGTGATTTCCACTCGTAATCAGCTGAGTTTTTCATGTGATGAGGGTTGTGGCCACATCTGATGCTGGAAGTGTCTAAGACCAGTGTAACATGGCATGACCCACATTCTTGTGAAGGTACTTATATGAGAGATTGTAGAGGGTTATCAATTAATGCATGCAAGCTTGGTTTGCAAGACACAGCTATAAACTGTAAAGGCACATATACATTATATTGCCAGAAGTATTTATGCACCCATACAAATCACTAAATTCAGATGTTCCAGTCATGGCCACAGGAGCAGTGGAAACGTGACACCAGGTAACATGGCCATGGCCACTCTCTGTCTGGTGATCAGATGGATGAGTCTGGGTTTAGCAGTTGCCAGGACCACACTGTGCCAAATGTAAAGTTTGGTAGAGGGGGGATTGTTTTTCAGGAGTTGTGCTCAGCCTCTTAGTTCCAGTCAAAGGAACTCCTAATAGTCCAGTATACCGAGACATTTTTGACAACTTCATGTTCCCAACTTTGTGGCAACAGTTTGGGGTTGGCCCCTTCCTGTTCCAGCATGACTGTGCACCAGTGCATAAAGTCAGGTCCATAAAGACACGGATGAGCCAGTTTGGTGTAGAAATACTTGACTGGCCTGCCCAGATTCCTGCCGCCAGAAAACATTCTTCCCAGAAGAGTTGAAGTTATTATAGCTGCAAAGACTCGGCAGACATCATATTAAACTCTTTGGATTAAAAATGGGATGTCACTCAAGTTCATATGTGTGTGAAAGCATACAAGCAAATACTTTTGGCAGTAAAGTTTATGTGTAGATTTCTGCTAAACAACACAGAAATAATATGCCGGAGCTTCACTCACCAAAACCTAAGCACAAATTTCTTAGAGTAGTGTACCTCACAGTTCCTCCTTATGATCTATAAGATAATGCCAGAAGGTGCAAACAGCAAAAACACAGTGGAAAATCTTCACTCTGTAGAGTTGTTATGAAGGTAGAAATCAGCTCTACATAACAAAACCATTTTTTCGCAGCAGGCTATAAACATGCTACTTGCTGAATATATGGGAGTCTCAGGGGAATGTGTTACGTTTTTACTAGTCTGAAGTTGCCATTAGAGGAAGTGCAGTTTCTGGCACTTCCTTATTGGCTTCATTTCTGGCTGTTGGAGGTTGCCACTTGAGACTTCTGGCCTCTTTGGTTTTTCTCTGTCTGCGGCATGCGTGCGATCCAAAGCAACACTGTTGTTCCCAGTAATTAATATTTACAGGGCGCACATACAGAAGCTCACATCAAGCAATAAAAATGTGACCGTTTCTAAGAATGGCCTCATTTTGCTCCTGCTCACCAGACACACACATGCATTCACAGGCGTTAACAGCTCCGATGTTGAGCAAACTGGGGGCTGACAGGCGTGTGAGTGATGGTCCTCAGCTGCCCTGGCAGTTCCAGGCATGAAGCCTAGCCTTCACTAAAAATATGGCCTGTAATTTAACCAAACCCTCCCAGGGAGTCCGAGAAGGCTATGCGCGCTAAATTAGGAGCTCATCTGAGCACTCTGTGATTGCACTGCACCACTCTCTCCGCTTTACACGTCTCCACTGTGACTGATGTTGGTCACTCTCAGAGAAGGAGCTCTTGTGAGTGTTTGTCTGCATACATGTGTACTATACCATCTGAAAGATAGTATCAGGAAACTGGATAAGAGACGTGAGAGTGAAGAGTTCTAACATTTATTTGGTTTTACTAAAATAGAACAACAAACTGCTGGCCAGCCAGACCGATGTAACACGACACAACTGACTATGTACATTAAATGCATGTAATCATAATGTCATTTTGTCTGTTGGGAACACACAGATTTACAGGCTGTGACATGCAGAATTTAACAGTGGAGCATATTTTATTGCAGCCTGCACCTCTAAACTTGGCTCCTTACAGAAATAGAGAGTTGATATTAAATGTCATTCACACAGAAAATAAGGTCAGCAGCTCACTAATGAACTCCCCGGCAGCAAAGTCTTGAGGTACCTGCCAGCGCTGATATACTCTATGGCTGAACACAATATGTGTCCTTCGTGAAATGTCCTTAAAACATAATGGAAGCTTCACATGATTTTATTTGCACTTTTTTCTTTATTGGATAATATTCATATTTGTAAGGACTTCCCATTCAAGTCTGCTGGTTATGTTCAAATCTGTCACCTGTGTGTTTTCAAGGTAACCTGGTTCTCTTTCTTCTTTGATTCTCTTTTGACCCACATCCACATGTGTCTTAAGTCAAATACAGACCTCATTCTGAACAATCAGATCACAGTTCATGCAGTTTCTACATCCTTTGCCTTGCCATGAGAAACTGTGAAGGCTGGCAATGTGTCCATGGTGTACCCACCTCCTCTTGCCTGGCTGGGATAGGTCAGAGGGGAAGCTCAGAGGACAGCTTTTCTGGAAATCACCCAGGATTTTTAAATTCATACTACAGTTGCATGTTCTAGGAGGCAAATTTCAAATTCGGAATTTTCATTTTAATCGTCTCAACTGCTTAGAAGCATGATTGAAAGCGAAAGTTTGTTTTTATGGTGTCCTGTATCTCCTCCCCGTTGCAGTAACTGTTTCAGCTGTTTCAGCTGCTGACCTGACCGGTAATCATCTGTGGGTTTCAGGGGTGACGCATCCATAAATCAGCATCTCTTCGCGAGAGGCACGTGTCTCACGTCAGGAAGTGGGACATATCTCAATATGTGGAAAGTGTGCACACGTGGTCACCCAAAACACTCAAACGCATTGATTAACATGTCGAACATCAGTCAGGTTAAAACTGCTAAAGATCCATGATGATAGACAACATCCAACTTTATGCAGGTGTTGTCACTTTGCAGTATGAAAGGCGCCATATAGCAGCTACATCTGGTGGGCGCTTGGCTTGACTGGAGGCTATAATTAACCTTGTCATTTAAAACCCACTGATATCTACCGGAAGTGAAATCATAACAGTGGTTTCATGAATGCTCCTCCTCCTGCCACCATCCAGCCCAACGCAGGGAGCGGTGCCTCCAATGTAACACCTTCAGCAGGAGTACTACATGTATGAGGTAATTGTTGTTTGGTCATGTGAGCCGCTGCAGCAGCTGTCAAATGTGATGATAGCAGGAGAATCCTCGGCACCGCCCCCTTCAGCTGATTGGACGGGTCGTAGTCGCCTAGGGACCATCAACCAAGAGATCATCTTATAGAGGGAAGGGGTGGGCGGTTATAAAGATTAGTTTGAACAACACACGGAGATAGATTGAAGAATAGAAACTATTGATGTTGTAAAACTTTACAGTAAAGCCTCTGACTTCTGACATCTCACTTTAAATGCCTGCAAACTGGTGTTGTTGTGCTACTGTGGCTTGTGCTTATTTGCTGACTCTATTATTATTATTATTTTCTTTCACACAATCAGTTTCTAGATATGAGACGTTTCCTGCCAAACTGTGACTTGGCTGATTATAAATGTAGATTGTGTTTTCACTTGAAGATGGTATCTGGTTGGTGTGGTTATATTTTACTGCTGTTCTGCTGCTGCACTGCCTCATCTCACATTTATAAACTCAGAAATAAAACAAAAGATAAGGTGTGAACATGGACTGCAACAGCGCTATCAAATGTGTGGTCTAAGCGAGACGAGCTCTTCAAAACAAACTTGTCTCTTGTTGCACCAAACTTTTAAGATTAAGAAGTCTTTAGCTGACTTTGGGATTCCCCTTAGCTTTCTGCAGGTCTTGACTCTTTAAATGCCCACAAAGCAGAGACAAAGATTTGGAGAGAGAAGAAAATAGGCTGCACATGTGCCTGCTCACTCCTTTTCACTTCAAAAAGAGTCGCTCCTTATTAAGATGGCTAGGGGTGCACTAATTCAAGGAGACAGCCCACACCTGGCCAACTGCATTGCAGAGGTCAAATCTGTGTGCCTCCTTCACTTCTTTCATAAACACATGCCTCCTCCTGTGGCGTCTCCATCTGCAGCTCCCCGGTCCCATCTCACATATCGCATATTCCATCCATCCCACACACACACACACACACACACACACACACACACACACACACACACACACACACACACACACACACACACACACACACACACGCAGGACAGTAAGGATGGATCGTCTATTCATCCTCGCAGCCACAAAGTCATGTGAAAAGCAAACAGAGAGAGAGGGAGACGCCTAAATTTAGAGGCTGAATGTTGACTTAGACTTAGGTTACACCATTTCCAAACCGACAGACTGGGTATATTCTTCCATTTTATTAACAAGTGTTCAGTGACACATGCATGTCTGGCCAACATATATCACTACTGTCTTTATTTAAAGATTTATTGATACTTTAAAGGAGGTTTAATGTAAAATTCTTTCCATGGACATCCTACTGTGAAGCTTATAAGCCAATAAACTTTGTACCAGCCTTGGATTGAGAACGATTCAGATGGTGTGTGTGTGGAAACGAATGGTAAGTTTATCTCAAAAACAGGATATTGTTTTATTTCCTGTGACACCCCCTAACAGAAATCTAATGTTTGCACACGGGATCCTTCTAAAGAATCGTAAATAGTGTAATTACTCTGTGATCCAGGCATTCACAGCAGGCGGACTGTACTTTATCCGGAGCCCCTTGGTTTTAAACCCAAGCCCCGCCTCTTCAGTAGGCTAAGCTCACCCACCTTATCCACCAGCGGCACAGTGCGCCAGGGAGCAAGAGCGCAGGCTGCACCGTGGAGCGGGCATGGTAGACATGCAGTACCGGCAGACCGCTTCTCCCAGAAAACGCTTCCGATATTGGGTTTAAGGAGACAGCTTATTTGAAAGCCGGGTTGGGCCGAGGGGATCTTATTCTTTCTGACAGTCGTACAAAAAATACAATTAAAAAAAGGAACTCATTGACATTTGGAAGAACCTGATGGGTAGTGGGGAGGAGGGGAGAACGATGCAGTTCCAGCCCGACTCGGTGAGCCGCGCAGTCCGCCTCCGACGCTGGTGATGCCCGCCGTGCGGGGATCACCGCCCAGCAGCAGCAGCAAGAGGAGGAACAGAAGGAGGAGGTCAGGATAACAAGGGCGTCAGGGGCCGATGATGTCGTTGGGAAGGTCGGGATCATGGCAAACGGAACCGGTACTATCATGTTAAAATGCGTCGTGGTCGGAGACGGTGCGGTGGGTAAAACGTGTCTGCTGATGAGCTATGCCAATGACGCCTTTCCAGAGGAGTATGTACCCACGGTCTTTGATCATTATGCAGGTAGGAACACAGTTCTGCTGTTCGCCTTTATTATCTCATAATAGCGTGACATGCTGAGCTGCTGCCGCTCTGTGCTCACTGATAATTGGCCACATGCGAATCTAAGAGAAGAGAGATTTTAGAGACCCCCACCCCACCACTCTTCCTCCAACTGCATTGCATCTGTTGCTATAATCAAAACCACTTGTTTGTCGTCTTCATAGCACAGAGGGGCTGGGACCCCCCCACCCACCAGCACTCCCCACCCTCACCCCTTGGTTCCTCCTCTAAACTGCTCTTTGTCATTTCCTTACAGTGAGCGTCAACGTCGGGGGAAAGCAGTACTTGTTGGGACTGTATGACACAGCTGGTCAGGTAAAGTTTATTTTTTCCTCTGGCTCTGTGCCAAGCACGTCAAGGACACGCACACATGCACACACGCTCCAGCTCTATCTCGGTCTCTCCATGTGCTCCTGGGACCAATAACTATCCAACAGTGCCTTGGAAACACCCACAGGCTTCATATTCAGGCCAGGCACTAAGCTGCAACAGGTGATGGGTTTCGCACATGGCTTTAACTGCCTGAGTGTGCTGTGGCGTGGACAGTGATGGCAGTGAAGGGGTTTCAATAGTTCTATTATGTGGAGAACAGGGCTCCTATGTCCAGTAGTGATGTCACAGGTTTGTTAATAGGGCTGCTTAATGCATGGGCCTTTTCTTTACAATGTGCCATTCAGTGGGCAAGAGTTACAACTGTAATACACACACACACACACAAAATATTGTGTCCCCTCAGCAGAAGAGCCAGTGTACACACAGATGGAGGAAGCTACTTGAAACACACAGCACACAGAAGCTCACCGAGGTGTGCGTATAGGAAAGACCCTGAATTATTTGTTTTTAGTGTAAAAGTTGTCATTTGGTTTTTATGGCGGTTTTGGTTTGATGTGAATAGCTAAGCAACAGCAGCTAAAGAGGAAGCAGTTAGCACATCAACTCTTTACATGTTAGTTATGTCAAAATTTGGTGATTCAATCTTTGAGATTTCACACTATGACTGTATGCAAAGTCTTCATCAGTGTTTTTCATTATTGATTATAGGAGATGGTTATCAGCAAATTAGCTGAAAATGAAAACCAAGAACTAAAAAAGAATTTTATTCAAACACAATCTGTAGAAACATTTGCAGGTTGGATGCCTGTTTGACATATACTGACAGTGTAGTTTGGAGACTACATGAACCTGTGTGCCAGTGAAGCTACTTGTATCCAGGTGTCCCAGTAAAGGTGATGGGAGGTGTTGGGTTTAACTTTCGCAGGATGTCGTTGAAGCATTATGTTAGGAAAGAAGCTGAAAAAGGCTCCAAAAAGAATTTCTAAAGGCCACATTGACAGGTACTACCAACCTCAAACTAAGCAAAAATTGTGCCTTTGAAACTAAAATAATATTTGTTATTCACTGGGAACTAGGGCTGTGCGATATGACCAAAATCTCATATCCCGATATAAAACCTCTATCGTCCGATAACGATATAAATCACAAAAAAAATAATATTTTCTGTAAATTCTGTGAATCTCAGGTAGGTGAAGTGTTTCCAGTTGGGCGTCGTGTACCTGGAGTCGAGTGTTTTAACAGATGTATGAAACTACACATTTTTAGACATAGGTTGTAACGGCCGCCGTTTTCTTTGTGAGTATTTATTACACGGCGTGCTGCGGGGAAAAGCCTGTTCTAACGTTTGAGTCTAAGGTTGATTTTTTTAGCACCTGACGGCTCTTTTTTTTTTGCTTCTCATCCGTCAACACTCTGCATACTTTTTCACGTGATTCCGTTTATTTTGAAAAGTCTCAACAGAATCTTGAGGTTTATTGTGAAAGGTTTATGTGGAAAATAAACTAGCGGACATGCGATGGTTTTACCGTCGTTGTTGCTAAAGACAACCAATAAAAACAGGCGCTTGTCCGTCAGTAGTGTGGTTTCTATTAAATATAAGAGAAAGAGAGAACTTTAAGAAATTAATATAGCCACTACAGTGACCATCAAAACCATGAACAAACAGTTTATTTTGCGACACCACAAAACAAACGATAGCGTAAAATGAAACATAGATGTTTTTATATCGTCATCCGATATATATCGTTATATCGAACAGCCCTACTGGGAATGATTAGACCGTTCCCAAAAGACTAATCAACACCTAATCAACCATTTTTAACTGCTAAACGACTTATCATTTGCTGGCTTTACATGGAAGTTTGCAGTGGACCTTTATTTTTTTAAGTAGTTTCACAGTGAACTTTGACTGTTTGTTCTAACAGATCGCCATTTACATTTTCGATGGTAACTTGCAGGCTCTACCTGAGCAGATTTAGGCAGCCCATCTACCTGCAGAGAGCATCTCTTGTCAAATGGGGGCAGTCAAAAAATATGCCGTACAGCCGCTCTGTGGGCTACTCTTGTGCTTTTGTCGGTCCATGAGTCAGCCACGGAAAAGAGCAAAGTTACAAACAGACAAAGAGCTGACGTCAAGCTGAGTGTTAAAAACAACACTGTCACTGTCTGCGCTTTTCCTGCTGCTTCTGTTCCTGACGAACTCCGCCGCTCCATCTCTTTTCCGGCCCACTTGTCGGCCGGTCTGCATTTGCTTGACGCGCAGCATCATCCACACCGCGTACTGTGCAGTTGGGTTTTTGGAAGAACTCACAGGAGCACATTTGTGGTGGTTGAAATTCCAAAAAATATCTCCTCAGGTGGGCACAGACACAGTAGCTTAAACTTAAGCCTAGTTTAGTTGCGCAGTGCCTCACCTTTGGTAACATGTTCTTCTATGTTTATTGTTCAGTGACGTTAGTGGTCCACTGATCCAACTTTTCCACCTCCAATTCGGTACAGATACCTTGCTTTAGCGTATCTTCTGATACACTGTTACATTAATAAGCATTTGATGATCTCTGCACCTTTAATAATGAGATTTGACACTTAAGTATATATGGTTCATTATGGTTTGATGACCGTTAGTGTGGGTTCTGGAATATTCCAAGTAAATAATTATGTAGGCATTTATTGAACTGGTAAGAAAATAAAGCACAATAGGCTCAAAATACAACAAAGAAAAAAAAATATCAACGTTATTCACCTTGATTAAATTGCACAAGGATTAGGCTTTAACCTCCTAGGACCTGGCATTTTGGGTTATTTAGACCAAAATACTCAAGTTTGCTCTACAAGGGCCTGATATCCACTTACGAGGACATTATACTGCTACTGTTCTATCGACATTTTAAATGAATATCCTCATATGTGGCTCTCATTTTTCTCAAAAACAAAAATTGGGTAAAAAAAAAATCTGGTAATTCTTTGTTTTTACATTCATCGTCTCCCAATCAGCCCAAATATCAATGGAAGAGTTCGGGTCTTAGGAGGTTAATGAAGTTGATGACCAAGTGTTGTTTTATCCCAAGTGCAGTAAAACCTTCCAAATAAGCGTTTCACAAACTGTGACGACAGTGTGAGTGAGCAAGTGATGTTATCGTCATCTCTGTTTGTTTTTCTTTTGTTTTTTTTTAGTTGTGCCAACTAACATGACCGAGGCTACTTTGGATGTGCAGTAAACGTGTGCATGGTGGTGGGAGCATCGTGGTTTAGGCTTTCTTTGCTACCTCAGTCTGGATGCTTCACAGCCATTTTGAGAAAAAGGATTTCATAATTGTGCCATCAAATTTTAAAGAACAGTGTCAGGGTAGCACTTCATGGCCTGAATCTTTGGAGAGGTTTGGTGAAAACACGAGTAAATCATCAAGCACAAAAAAACAAGGAAATTAATGATTTTAGGAATTACACATTACCTAATTAGGATGCCATGGCATGACCTAGGGAGAGCTGTCCAGTCAAGACATCTAAGCAGTACTGATGAACTCGAAACTGTTTGTTAGCTCTAAAATTCCCCCATCATTGTGAAAGTCTTATTAGCAGCAACAGGAAATGTCTGATCGAGGTTCTCCAAATCGCTAAATTCATGAGATCACTTTCTTTTTCTATAGTCTGCTGTTTGGACAGTGTTATTAGCTTAGTCAGATCATGTTTGTGACTCAGATGACAATCAGGCCACATATTATGTGTAATGCGCTCAGAAATCCCAATAATTTCAAATGGCAAAAGCTCTGAATGGGCCTCTCTTGTATCATTTCACGATTTTCAGGCGTTTCTATGGCTAAAGCAAAGGACTAAAGGCACCCTGTAGATTTTTAAACCTCCAGTAGTGATTTAAAGCAAGAGTTTAGTGTGTGTAACAGATTTTTATTTTGTGCATGTACAAGAACCAGAAAAGCATGTGGACAGCTGCATAGACCTTCCTGTGTAGGGTATGTCTCTTTCCTGCTCATTAACAGTTGGCAGCTCAGAATAACCTAGCAATAGTTCAACAGCTGAGCAGTAGAAGAAGAAGGCATGCTTACTGTATATTGCACAACTCATAATACTCAAACACTGGCTGTGCAAATGAGGAGGAAGGAAATGGGTTCAGCACTTTTTTAGACACGAGACTAACACACAGTGTGCTTTGGTGAGAAAAACTGAATGCACTCAACTATGATTTTCTTGCGTTAAGGCCTTCTGGTCTAACTTCAGCTGCACTGCAGGACAGCGAACAGTCAGTCACCCATGATTAACCTCCTCATACTTACAGCAACCTAAAACTACACTCTTGCCAGAAGCTGAGTAGTTATTAACACTTTCCTCGTGACCTGTTCCGATGTGATCCATGCAGCAGAGAGACAAATGCAAAGCTCAGAAAGGTCAGCTTTGGCATATTTAGCTGGTTTCCTTCACAAACCCTGATTCACACACAAATCTGTGAGTGGGAAAAGATCGCAGACAGCCTGCATTTTTCTTCCCTGTCTTAAACAGCTACCTGTGGCTGCGCTATAATTTTCCCCCAAGAAAACAGATGGTAGAAGTGTTACTACTCACTTGTGAAAAGAGGAACACAACCTTTTGTCTATTCTGGCGTGTTTGATAGGCTGTGTGTGTGTGTGTGTGTGTCAGAGGAGGGTTTGTTTTCAGCTGATTCAGAGTGTCTCTGAAATGGAGAAGTTCTCCCAGATGTCTGCTGTGGGCGCCGCCGGCCTCCCAGAGTAGAGTTACTGCTCTTGAAAATGTGCCCCCTCACGTTTCTCCCGTGCCTCCGCCCCCGACTCGGCTGACCTCTTTATGTGGAGCAGAAGGCCAGCTGGTAATGTTTATAGCTTCAGCGTCTGATCAAAGACTCGATGCCCCCAAAGAGAGGAAAGGGGGAGGAAAATAGTGTGTGTGAGACAGAAAGAGGAAGAGAGAGAGACAGATGCGGGAGGCTAATCAAGTGTGTGTGTGTGTGGGGG